CTAAACCCGCGACACCTGCCAGGGATGGGGCAGCCACAGCTTCTTTAGGTGACCTGTTCCAGTGTCTCAGCACCCTCATAGTAAAGAATTTGTTCCTAATACCTAACCTAAATCTCCCCTCTGTTTGTTTAAAGTCATTCCCCCTTGTCCTGTACTTATGTGTCCTTGTAAAAAGTCCCTCTCCAGATTTCTTGTCAGCAGAGACAAGAAATCTTTAGGCACTGGGAGCTGCTCTAAGGTCTTCCAGAGCCTTCTCTTCTCCAGGCTGAACAAGCCCAGCTCTCTCAGTCTATCTCTATATAGCAGAGGTGCTCCAGCCCTCACAGCAGCTTTGTGGCCTTCTCTGGATCCACTGGAGCAGGTTCATGTCCTTCTCATGCTGGGGGCCCTGGAGCTGAACACGGTACTCCAGCACTGAACACAGTAATTCTTGCAGTGAGCTGCAGTAAGCTTCAACTGGGTCACCAGCTGTGTTGCTTTTAGTGTGGTAATTTCATTAACAGCTACAGCTTCCAACAGTTTCAAGCTACTCCAGAAAGTTAGAGGAGTGTCATTATCTCCTTTTGCCCAGGAAAATTTCCATTTTAAAGAGGAGGAACCGGATCCTCAAGGCCACATTGGAAAGCAAGAGCTCAGCCAGGAAAAGGTCCCAACTCTGAGCTGCCTGTTGACCTCACCTGCCCATGCTGTCCTAAAGGTTACCACTGCTCCTTCCCCTCTGACCTCTTCCAGCCCATGCATCCAGGATGCATCCAAATCCTGCCCTTCCCTTCCACAACAAGGTGTTCTCCTTTATCAGGCTCCAGCCATGAGCCAGGGGCAGGGCAGATTTACCCCTGCTCTTCCCAGGGAAGCATCCACAGGAGGGAAGAAAACATCGGGAGACTTGTCATTAAATAATATTTTCCTGAAATTTCCTCCAAGGACTCATTAGCAGCTCAGGGCATTGAAGGAGTTTTCCTTAATGTGGAGACTTGACACCAGAAATAGGGCAAATAGAAGGATATGGCACAGCACAACCAGCTCTACATCCCTGCCGGGAAAAAAAGCCAGCTGGGAACCAGCATGAACTGTTAATGCTTTAGCTTAGGGGAAAATAATCCAGAAGTGAGGGATTTAAGGAGAATTACAGTAATTAGAGCCTTGATTAAATTAGTCAGCCCCTAGCACAGCAGCAGGATTACTTCTGGAGGCCAGCACTTCCCAACATTGTTCAATTAAAGGGCTGCCCCACTGCTCACACCATGCGGCAGCTCGCATATGGTCATCCAAAACAGAGGAGCAACTCTCACTGCTTCTTTATAGCTTTTATTTCCCTCCACAGGGCTTTTTGGCCTGTGTGGGAATATGATTTTGGGCTTGGTTTTCTTTCACACTTTTATTTCAAGTGGTTCACATGTGACCTGCTTTTGCTGTAAAGGCCCCTAAATGTCCCCAGATCACAGGCTGAGAAGCACCGCTGGAGGCTAAGGATGTATCATGTTGAAGTATAAATAGGCAGATATCCCTTTATAACAAGGAGAAGAAACAGTACATGGGAGCTTTGGTCCCAACTGGCCCAATTCTTATTTATGTAGCCTCAGTTTTCCAATAAGCACCAGCAAAACAACAGCATCAGGAATGCAAAACAGCAGCAATGGGAAGTAGGCAATGGGTTGTCCTGAGCCAGAGCAGCTCACAAGCAGGCATCCGCAGCAGGAAAGGGTCTTTGGGAAAGCTGGGGAGATAGGGAAGAGCTGCACGAGCAGGCAAGTGCCCTGACCCATTGTAGGCACTGCAGAAAGCTGCTGTGGGGCACCATGACCAGCAGCATCCCAGGTAGGGCCATGGGATGGGCAGGGGTTCCTCACATTGCTGCCAGAAAACTCTTGAAGGGGTTCAGCCTGAGGTCTGCTCCTTGGGTTTCTGAGGGTGGTTGAGTGAGAGATAAATACACTGTCCTCTGCTGGCCATGAAACACTGAATGAAGGTGCCCTCCTCCCGGTATGCTCTGCTGGGCTTCCCACAGCCCAGGGACTTAGTCCCACACAGCAGTGCAGATGAGTCCCTTTCCACCAGTGGTTTGGTATGTGGGTAATCAGAAGTAGTGGTTCTGAGTGACCCACTCCTGCTCATCACCTTTTAAATCTGTGGTCTAACATGTTTGACCAGTGAGGTGAAGGGGAACACCACCAGGAAAGGCTACAAAGTCTGCTGTATAGTCTATTTCAGGCAATGGCTTCATTTGTTTAATTCTATTATTGTGACACTGCAATCTCCAGCCAGGAGAGGTGCAGGAGTTTAAGGCTGCAGCTGCAGACACCCCGACAGACATTCTGAGAGAATTCTGCCCAACTCAGAGAGGAGGACAAATGACCTGTCATCAAGAGAAAGAAACTTCTCCAACAAAGATGTATGTAGAAATCAAGCCATCATTTCTGCCAAGAGCGAGTGGCTGCCTTGAGCTACTGCTGGGCCCCCAGTGGTGCCCCAAACCTGAGTTGCTGCAGACACAGCTTGACAGAGCTCCCCTCAGCTGCCAAGCCAACACCATGCCCAGGCATGTGATGAAACCCTTAGCTCAAGCATGGTATTACCTCTAACTCATGTTGGCTGGCTGTCAAAAGGCATTAAGCCATTGCTAATGTTCATGCAAGCCTTCTCGCCCTAACTGCTCTGAGGTTTCAGACCTAACTCTGTCCCAGTACCATCCCAGACATCTCTCTGGAGCAAAGCCTGCTTGACAGGAGAAAAACTCCTGGGCTGGCTCATCTAATGGGGGCACAAAAGCATCCCAGCAGGTGTCTCCAGCAACATGAGCTCTGAGCAAGCGCAGTCAGCAGGTTACACACGTGTGGCAGAAAGTGCTGCTACTTGTGTTCACCCCATTTCATAGGGCTCAGTCGCTGAATTTTTCCAGGCAGGGATGTAAATACATCCTCCTTATTGACTGGGGGTAAACTCACAGCTCCAACCACAGATCAGCACACATTCAAGCTGGGGTTTGGATCAATGGCTCAGTCTAGCAGCACAGCAGCATCAAAAGCAAACAACTAATTTGAGCCTTCAAGTTGACGGACAGCACTTTGCATTTTGCAGTCAAGGAAATCAACCAAGCAGCTGATTTAACGAGATTATGGCTAAAACCATCCTCTTGTATTGGAGCCCTGAGGTCAGCTTTGCCCCAGGCCATGTGCCTGATGAGGGTGGTTTGGCTTGCAGGGACTGAGGATGTCCTGATGTAACATGGTCTTGCCACCAGTCTGCTGTATGTGTGCCTCTGTGAGTGGGTTTGGTTACCAAATGCTGCCAGCAGCTGTTCCCCCTGCTCTGCACACCTGGAGCAGCCTCACCTTTATCCCCTCAATCCTGAAGCCCAGCGTGGCAGTCGAGCTGATGGTCTCCCTCCACTGCATGTAGCGTGGCTTGGTTACTGCCCGCATCACGTTCTCCTCCTCGGTGGGGGCATCAGGGTCCACCTCAATCATCTTCTGGTACATGTCCTTCCTCAGGCTCGGCTTCTTCCGGGCCTTTATCAGCTCCTCCTCCAAGTACGTCCTGCAAGGAGTGAGGGGAGACATTAGAGGGACCATAGGGCCATCACACAAGGTACCACATGCCTACAGACAGCCCTTGCCCCAGAAATCAGGCCTAGCCAGGATAGCTGATCCCTGTGGAATAAGGCAACATAGGAAATAATGGGGCAAGCCTCACTGCAGGTGAATTGATCCTGATTTAATTAGCATCCCATTGTTAACACCTGATATCTTCAGGTCACCAAGAAACCACAACCAGTTTGGCAATAACAAGGGAGGTTACTTCTCACAGGTGCCCATGGTGTTACTACTACCCCTCTGTTCCTGGGTGAGCCTGTCCCTCAGTGCTCAGCAGACCTGAGCAGTGACTTAATGGCTCTCACAAACTAAACATGGCTTTCAAGGTGTGCCCAGGAAAGTGCCCACATGCTCCAGGATCCATCTGAGTTGAAGGCAAGAGGGAGATTGTAGCATCCCAGCCCTCGGTGCTAGGTGCTGCTCCAGGTTTGGCCAATGTGGGTGGCTGCTGCCAAAGCTGTTCCCATGCTTTCCCATCCCCTCACCCTGCATACAGTGAGGGCTGAGCCTCACTGTCTGCTCTGTTTTCACCCAGGGTTGTTTCACTGATGATGATTCTGCCCAGTATAGGTCTGTTTTAAACGGACTATCTAGCAAAAGCTTCCTGCACAGAATAGAGCAGATGAAGGGATGCAGCCTTGGCCAGGTGCTTGCCATCACTCCTGGGACCAGGGTGTTGGAGAAGGAGGATGGAGAATGCAGAGGAGTGTGCCAAGACTTTGGCTTTATGCATCCTTCAGAGGAGCACCACTCTGAGCCAGAGAATGCTGGTGGAGAACTTCCGCACTCTGGCATGCAGAAAACCATCATCCACAAAATAATGCTTCCTGCAGCAGTAATAAACCACTATGTGGCTCCCAAACCTGCCCCAGCTCAGCTTGGCAAGCACCCAGATTCTCTCCAAACAATTCATCGAGCTGGGGAAGATGTCCCAGCAAAACAACACAGGAATGACCCCCCCATCTGTCACCTCTAAACTGCTCTACACCTCCCACTTGCCATGCCCAGCTCTGCAGAGGGGCTGTGCCCTCTCCCCATGGCCCTTATGCCAAAATCCCAGCACTGAGAGTGAGGTTCACCTTCAGAACCAAGCAAAATGTATGGGGAGGATGCTAAGCAGACTACAGGGAGTGTTTCCCACAGGCTAAGCAAGGCAAACTGGTGTCTTTTCTCAGGGCAGGCACATGACATCCCCAGGGCACCAGCCCCTTTGGCAAACACTGCAGACAGACATGATGAAAGGCTTCAGTTGAGATCACCAAACCCATGATTTTTGGGCAGGCAGAATAAAAGAGCACAATAAAGCAGCGGTGTGCTCACAAGTGCTGCTCACGCTGCTCAGAAAGCTAGATTGTCTTTTGGTGAGAATGACAGGTTGTCTATGTCTGTAGTTTGGTCCCCCTGCATTGCTCCAGGCTTGAACCATCACCAGGGCTTAAGACAGACAAAGTTTTGCTTAGAGGTGACTGGAGGAGGCTGCTGCATCCCAAAGCCACATTGGCAGGAAAAATCCAAACCTGCCTGGCTCAGAGGAGAGAGGTTTAACAGCCCTGAGCTTTAGTTTACCTGCCCAGCTGTGGGGATGCCCCTTTCCCCAGCATTAGCCCAATCCACCCTCCCTCACCAGCTCCTTCCACAACACCATCTTACTGAATGATGATGATGATGCCCAGCACATTTGTCCCCTTGCTTGCTCTGCCCGTCTTAGCTCCAAAAACCCACGCGCCCAAATCACCCAACCTATGGTTTGTGTGCAGGAGGCTTCCCTCCTCCCAGAGACAGCCACAGGAGCACCCGGGCAGCATGTCCAGCAGCTCTTCTAGTGGCTGTCATCTCTGGATCCAGAATGGACCCTGTCTCCTTCCCACAACAGCATGGTATGTGCCAGCCAGGCACACGTGGCAGCGCCGGGGCCCCCTGCCCTTCTCTCCACCCCTCTGGTGGAAAGTATTCCTCTCCTCTTCCCTGCTGACAGCCCAACACGCCAGTTCGAGTTTCACATCAGGAGTTCAGGAGGGGAAAAATAAAGATTCCTCTCTCCCACAGAAACCATCAGCTTTTCCAGCAGCGCAAGCATCTCCACCGCGTCCAGGCTGCGCCTCAGCCAGAGAGGGGGGTCTCGACCAGCCCTGCCGCCAGCCTGCAGCAGACCCAGGGCTGAGCAGTGGCCTGAGGCTGCTCTAAAGCTGGCAGCCACCCGGGGTCACCAGACCTGCTCACATCTGCTCCGGGACACCCTCGTGAGCTCAAAAACTGCTGCTGGCCAAACGGCTGCAGCTTGGGATCTGTAGATGGTTCTCAAGGAGGACACGGGTAATGTTGCTCATCTGCTAGGAAACGTTTCAAGAACTTTGCATGAAAGGCACTAAACTACTTAGCACACACATATTATCCCTCAAGTGTGCATGGGAGCAAAGGGTGAGCAGAGGGTAAGTGCCTCGCTCACTGAAGCTGTGGCATTCACATGTCTTTATTTCACCCCTCTAGCACCCAGGGCAGGATCTCCCACACTTTTTGCTCCCTGCCCCTTGGCTGTGTCCTTGTGTGGCAGAAAGGCAGCTTGCCATCCTCCTAAAAGCTACTGTGCCATTCTGGTACCTCAAAGAGAATGCTGGCCCCTCTGCTGCACCAAACCACTTTCCTGGCACATTGGACAGTCAATAGCAGAGAAGGAAAGAGCCTGGTGTGTCCTTCTCCTGCCTGGGCTTCCCCATGGCTCTCTCCTCACGCTGTTGGCTTAGCTTTTCCTGAAGACAGGTGAGTTTGGTGTTCTTACTCACGTGTTTCAGCAGGTTTTGCCCAGGAGATGCATTTGCTCTGAGTATCCCATCTTACAACTCAACCAACATCCCCAAAGCCACTCACCTGACACCCATTTTGCAGTCCATAACGCAGGGGGAGTCGAATTCAGCCAGCAGATCTTCCATCTGGTTGTATCGCTCCCCGTCCTTCACAACGTCGCCATGGTAGGCAGGAACATAGGGCTTCAGGACATCGTTCATCAGGCGGTCGAGGCAGCGCTGCTCGGATTCACAGTGCTTCTTCAGTATCCTGCCATTGGCCGCTGCCTTGAAACTACCTGAGGGTGACAAGGGACAGTATACACTTGCTTTGGATGGGGGATGATGCTGTGCCTTCCCAAAACAAGACAGGCAGCTCAACACCCTGGAAGCATCTCCATTTATACCTGAACCCAATGCAGTCCCTGCAGGCTGGAACTTTCAAGCTCAGGCTGCCATTCACATGTAGTGCCAGAGTTTTATGATAGCAACGTCACACCTCAAACAGGGCAGAGACCTGCCCTGCAGCACCCAACACATCTGCTTCCCATCCTCTGCATGCTTTGTGGTAGTTTCACACCTTTGTCTCTAGGCCACGGGAGCCTGAAAGCACAGAGCACTGCACCTTCACGTCACCCTCCCTAATGTTTAGGTAAGTTGCTCTCTGGGACAGAGATGTGGGAGCTGAAATCTGTGACCTTCATGCAGCAGTCAGAAGCAATTCTGGCCAACAAAGCCCATTAACCTGAGATGATGAAGAGCCTTTCCTGCATTCTGCCCGTCCCCACGCTCCGTACCTGCATGTCCCGCTAGCTGGATCCAAGGGTACTTCTTCTTGAAAGACATCACAAATGGGGACCAGTGCACCATATTCTTGATCTTCCGCCATGACTTGCTCTAAGAGGAAAAAAAATCATGAAGGTGAATGCAATGTTTTAAGCTTTTACCATCCGTAAAGTCACTTGAGGCAGCACACAGCTGTTTTGGACATGGGAAGAGGCACCAAAGCCAGTGCAGGATGGAAGCAAACAGAAAAGCTGCTCTTTTCCCATTGCCCTGTGCCAAGCCAGAGCCTCTGGGCCTCGGCTCTGTATTCAAACATCACAAGTAACTTCACTGAAGTGGACGGTGTTACAGGGTTGTTCCAGTTGGCTGCTGCTGCAGAGGACCCAGCCATCCACACTGCTTTGTCTCCACTCCCTGCATCCCTCTGGAGACGCAGCAGGGACATTAACCCATCCTTGGGTACCGCAATTAGATCATGGCAGACGGAGCGAGGAGGGGAGCCCAGGATTTCTCCCCAGCCACATAACTCATCTCCAGCTTGTGCAGGGAGCAGGAGATGCTCGCACAAGCACAGAGAGGCTCACTGCCTGGCTTTTGTTCCCCACTGAAAGGCAGCTGCTTTGTCCATTAAGCTGGCAACCCACATGTGGCCAACCTGCCTGCTCCGGCCCATCCGTAACTAGAGAACAACTCCCTTCTGACATGTTGTGTTTCTCGCCAGATAGATTGCATGAAACTATTTACATGACTGTAACAAGGGCTGCATCAGACATACGAAAGCCTCCTTCGAAGGCTCTTTCCTGCGAGAGCTTTTCCCTGGATTGTTCTGGGAAACATGCCGGCAGTAAAGGCAGGGGGACGACCTCTTATCTCGGCTCCAGAAGGCGACAGCGCAAACAAATCAGGCAAACAATATACAACGGTGACAATGGAAAAATGCCTTCTTGCAGGAGCTGGGACAAACAGATGGTGTAAGTCCTGGCTGCTCTGAGCTACTGGGTTCAGCTGGAAGCCTGCAGATAAATTATCCTCATTTGCTCCGCTCTGAAGGCATGGGAGGGAGCCTTCCAGAAAGCCCAAATAATCTCTTCCTCGTGTTTGGAGAACCAGCCCCTGTTCCAGTAATGCTTCGCAGACAGGCGGGGAAGAGCCAGCAGCCCCGACTTGCAGTTTGGATGCTTGCTGGGGGTGAACTCACGGCACAGGAATCCATGCTGGGAACTGCTGACATGTTTAAATGGCGAGGAAGAAGCCAGACAAAGATGTTAGTGTTTAAAGTGTGGAAATCACATCGGGTTACCCCTGCACCAGCCACCAGCCCCACTGGGGAGTGGGGACACATCGCACAGAGAGGCAGGGGCTGCCCGCACGGTGGGGACCAGGGGTGGGAGAAGGGAAGAAGAAAGGTCCTTCCCCACCTCCCAGCCTGGGAGGACCAGGGTGGCCCTTCCCTGGATGACTGCCCGTGGCCTGGAGCGTCCCAGCGTGCCCTGGCACAGGGACAGCAGTGCAGGAATTTGGCAAGCAGCTGCCCAAGCGCGGGGTGACACGGGGCATCCCCTGCGCCCAGGCTCCTCCATGCCACGGGTTTGCTCTGCCGCCCAGCTTGCTTGCTTTGGCAGGGGGGCCGGGCAGTTCCCTACCTGACATGAGGATGAATGTTTTTATTTCCAAACAGAGTGCCAGAATTTGTGTGCTTTAGCTGTTCTTTGTTCTCCTTTTGGGCAGCTGCCCAAGCGCGGGGTGACACGGGGCATCCCCTGCGCCCAGGCTCCTCCATGCCACGGGTTTGCTCTGCCGCCCAGCTTGCTTGCTTTGGCAGGGGGGCCGGGCAGTTCCCTACCTGACATGAGGATGAATGTTTTTATTTCCAAACAGAGTGCCAGAATTTGTGTGCTTTAGCTGTTCTTTGTTCTCCTTTTGGCAGAGCGTGGGCGGGAAGGGG